ACAAAAGGGGTCGGCGGCTGCAGCCTGGTCCAGCAATTGGCCCCGGATTCAATCCACCAAGTCAAAGTCAGAATTTGGGGAAAGGGGAAAGAAGGCCCCGACGGGGCAGTCTAGGGGGGGCAGGGTACAAACCTCACTCAAGGAAAAAGATCTTGGGGGGTATAACCCAGGCAAATCTCCCAAGCGCCTCAACCAAATAACTGCTGCAGCTATGGGCGCCTAGCAAAACCCCAGAACAGCATTCCCATCTTAAAGGAAAGTTTAGGACCTGTACACCCTATCTTTTGGCCCCCTATGGAGTAGCGGCACCAGTTTGGAACCCACACCTAGCCAAGCACGTAAAGAAACCTAGAGAAAGTGCAAAGGTTTGCACAAGACTAGTCCCAGAGCTAGAGGTATGTCTTACGAGGAGGGGTTTTAAGGGAAATCACCTGCGACACTGGAGGACGGGGAAGATAGGGGGGACATGATAACGACTTTACAAAATATGAGAGGAATTGACAAGGTGGACAAAGACAGGTTTTCCCACGGGGATTGGACAAAAGAAACAAGGGGCACAGTTGGAAGTGAAGACACAGATGAATCAAGGGGGTGTTAGGAAGTATTTCTTCAGCCACAGAGTTCAGTAAGTGGAATAGTTTGGAAAGGATGTAGTGGAGGCAGGATCCATACATTTGCTTTTAAGCAGAGGTATGATAAAGCTCACGTCAGGGAGAGTGACCTAGTAGCGATCAGTGAAGAGGCGGGGCCAGGAGCTCGGACTCGACCCCGCAACCTCAAACAGTGAGTACAACTAGGTGAGTACACACACAAAAAAACACCACACACCACCACACCCCACACAACACACACACACACACACAACACACACCCACACACCCACACACCACCACACACACCTACACACAACACACACACACATAATGATATACACGAATTTATTTTTCACTTAAGGCATGTAAACGCTACGAGACTTTAATTGTTTTATACGACCCAACCTTATTCTCCATCTCGTTTATACCCTTCCCCCCCCTATATATATATATAATATTATATATATATATATTTATATATATATTAATTTTATATATATAATATATTTTATATATATAAATTATATATATATATATTTATATATTATATATTATTTATATATGCAAAACAACCACCACGGGAGGAAGTTGAATAATAGCTCTAGGCCTTTCGTATTGCAAGCAATACTTTTTTCATCTGCTCACAACAGTACAGAGGAATGAATAGAGAGAAGAGCAGGTAGGTACGTCCACCAGGATGTCTCGGTATTACAGGATTGAGCGAAACGTCGCTTGCTTATCCCTCCTCCTCCCTCCCAATAACAATAAGTTAAGTAAGAAATGCTCAGGCCAGGATCTCGTGAAGTCTATTATCAACTCTCTCGTGATAGTATCGTGTAGTAGATAGGATTGTAATTTCTCCAGCCCTCTGTCCTCCCCCTACACCACTCATCCACATCTACTCTCTACTCAGCTCACTATGTTATTCAGCTTTGTGATGTGCTAAGTGGCTCTCTGAATGTGTTATTGTGCCTGACTGTTGAAGCTGATCTCTGATCCCTGGAGATCATCAATGGAATCACTGACGAGAAACTTGGGATGGGATTAGGAAACGGAGGAGCGAGCCTTCACCCTTCCTTGTAATGGAAAACCCCACACTTAACAGCAACAACAACAGCGATAATAATAATAATAATAATAATAATAAGAATAATAATAATAATAATAATAATAATAATAATAATAATAATAATAATAATAGGAGCCTTGAGCTTCCCTACGTCTTACTACGTCTTCTACAGAGATGGTTAAGAAATTCTTGGTTCAGCGAGTCACCTTGAGGCAGTAAGAACAATAATGTTGTTGACTTGTGTCGAGTTTAGTGACCACAGCCGTAACTTTGTCTGTATTTTCTGTCTGTAGCAGTTTGTATATACTGTATGTAACGACCACTACCACAACAACCAACACCACAACCACCACAGCTACCACCACAACCACCATAGCAATCACTACAACCACCACCACGATAACCACCACAACAACCACCACAACAACCACCACAACAACCACCACAACCACTAACAACAACCACCACAACCACCATAACAATCACTACAACCACCACCACAATAACCCCCACAACAACAACCACAACCACCACAACACCACCACAACAACCACCCCCAACCACTACAACAACCACCACAACCACCATAACAATCACTACAACCACCACCACAACAACCACCACAACAACCACCACAGCAACCACTACAACAACCACTACAACCACCATAACAACCACTACAACCACCACCACAACAACCACCATAACAACCACCACAACCACAACAACAACCACAACAACAACCACAACAACCACCACAACAACCACCACAACAACCACCACAACCACCACAACAACCACCATAACCACCACAGCAACCACCATAACCACTACAACCACCATCACAACAACCGCCACAACAACCACCACAACCACCACAGCTACCACCACAACCACAACTACAGCAACCATCACAACAACTACCACAACAATCACCACAATAACCACCACAACAACCACCACAACAGTCACCATATTGTGACCCCTGAATGGTTCACAATGTATATAATGTATATTACCTGTTTATATAATTTTATATTGCTCATATTTGCGATATTATTTAAATCGTAAATATGTTGCTTTATATTATTATTTGACTTAGTTATATTATTAGGTAGGATGTAACATTTATATATTATTAAGTGCTCGTAGTTCGTGTGTTAAGTAGCTGCCAGCATTGTCTAACTACTGTAACTACCACTCCGCTTGTTTCGCTGCCAGCTTCTCTGTAGTTGCTGGGCAGCAGCAGTCTGGGGAGAGTCACGTGATCAGGGTGCGGTGGTCAACACCTCACCTGGGTGAGAGGACGGCCTGACCTTCGTTACCTCTCTCTCTCTCTCTCTGGTTGACGATGTTTTCAACAACACCTCCCTCTCCAGCTCTCCCTGCTGGCCCTTGTTGGAACATCATCTCTGTTGCTCTCTTGTTGTTGGTTCTGTGTAACTCTGTTCGCAGAGCATAGCCTCGACTTAGTGATTTTCGACGTTGTACTGAGGTTGTGTATCACACTGACACTCTGAGAAACTCAGGTCCTGAGCTGTAGCTTCTGACCTAACTTGTACTGGTATCTGTGTACTGTCACAGTCGGGGATTTTCTTATGCTGAACTTAGATTCAGTAGTATGGGAGTTTTGTGACTTTTGTGGAGGATCTGCAGATGGTCCCTGCTTAGTGTCGTTATATTATCTTCTTGTCCCTGATTCTGTGTTGCTGCTACTTGTTATATTGCTGTTCGGCGAATCGGTCGTTTTACTGTTCAGGCAAGCTGTTCTGATTGCCAGGTTGGTCAAGAAATTAGTTTATGTGAGGACTTTTAGTCAGTCACTGGTTAAGTCGAGTCGAGTCTTGAGACACAGCGATCTACTTAGAGCACTTACACACATACACACAAACTTACTTGTATAGATTAGTATTACGTTCTTAAATGTTGACAATATACCAGACGGTACTTAAAAGCCATAAAGATGTGATATGTACCTTCAGCACAATACTACTGTACACCAGAGAAGTGTACCAACTTGTATCCTATATTATATTAAATTGATTATTTTGATATTGTCCACCTCTAGACCACTTTATCTTCATTAATAAACTTCTTAAATTTCAGTTTCTATAGTTAGCCGACCAGTTGTAATCCTGAGGCACTATTGAATCTTACTATTAAATTCTAATGGATAATTGGACCAGGATACTGACTACTAGTTACAAAAACCCAGTAACAGGCTGGATGCTAGAAGGACAGTCCTTTCTAGTATTCACTGGAGATCTCTATCATTATTAGATATCGCGTTTTTTGTAACACACCATAACAACGACCACAACAACGGCCACAACAAAGACCACAACGACCACAACAACCACCACAACCACCACAACAACCACCACCACAACCACCACAACAACCACCGCAACAACCACCACAACAGTCACCTCAGCAACCACCACAACAACCGCCACAACCACCACAACCACCACCACAACAACCACCACAACAACCACCACAACAATCACCACAACAACCACCGCAACAGTCACAACAACAACCACCACAACAACTGCCACAACATCCACCACAACAACCACCACAACAGCCACCACAACAACTGCCACAACAACCACAACAACCACCACAACAACCAATACAACAGGGACCACAATAACCACCACAACAACCACCACCACAACCACCACAACAACCACAAAACAACCACCACAACAACCACGACAACAACCACAACAACAGCCATCACAACAACCATCACAACAACCACCACAACAACCACCACAACAATCACCATAACCACCACAACAACCACAACAACAACCACAACAACCACCACAACCACCACAACAACCACCATAACCACCACAACAACCACAACAACAACCACAACAACCACCACAACAACTACCATAACAACCACCATAACAACCACCACAACAACTATCACAACCACAACAACCACCACAACAACCACAAAAACCACCATAACCACCATAACCACCACAACAACCACAACAACCACAACAACCACCATAACAACCACAACAACAACCACAACAACAACCACAACAACCACCACAACAATCACCACAACAACTACCAGAGCAATCACCACAACAATCCCTAAAACAACCACCACAACAACCACCACAACCACCACAATAACCACAACAACCACTACCAGAACCACCACAACTACCACAACAGTAACAACCACCAGAGCTATCACCACAACCACCACAACTACAACAACAACAACCACCACAACCGCCAAAACAACCTCGACGACAACCACCACAACTACCACAACAACTACTACTACACTAGCTACTAACCTCCTGCGCTGAGACACATGATGGTAAGAATGGTACCATCCTCGTAAGGACCGATGGGTCCTTCTAAGCGACGTCCTGACTCATCCTGCATCCTGGGGAACACTGCAGGATCTGTAACCCAGGAAGAATATTGTCTTAGATTATCTCCTGCAGTAGCAGGAGGAGGAGCAGCAGGAGGAGTAGGAGGAGCAGCAGGAGGAGTAGGAGGAGCAGCAGGAGGAGTAAGATGAGGAGCAGGAGGAGGAACAGCAGGAGGAGTAGGAGGAGGAGCAGCAGGAGAAGCAGGAGAAGCAGGAGAAGCAGGAGGAGGAGGAGCAGCAGGAGCAGCAGCAGAAGGAGGATCAGAAGCTGGAGGAGGAGTAGGAGCAGCAGGAGGAGTAGGAGCAGCAGCAGGAGGAGTAGGGGGAGCAGCAGGAGGAGTAAGAAGAGGAGCAGGAGGAGGAACAGCAGGAGGAGGAGCAGCAGGAGAAGCAGGAGAAGTAGGAGCAGCAGCAGGAGGAGTAGGAGTAGGGGGAGCAGCAGGAGGAGTAAGAAGAGGAGCAGGAGGAGGAACAGCAGGAGGAGGAGCAGCAGGAGAAGCAGGAGAAGTAGGAGCAGCAGCAGGAGGAGTAGGGGGAGCAGCAGGAGGAGTAAGAAGAGGAGCAGGAGGAGGAATAGCAGGAGGAGGAGTAGGAGGAGCAGCAGGAGAAGCAGGAGGAGGAGTAGCAGGAGGAGGAGAAGCAGCAGCAGCAGGAGAAGCAGGAGGAGCAGGAGGAGGAGGAGCAGCAGGAGGAGCAGCAGAAGGATGGTCAGAAGCTGGAGGAGGAGCAGCACGAGGAGAAGGTAAAGGAGAAGGAGTAGTAGAGGAGTAGGAGGAGCAGGAGGAGGAGGAGGAGGAGGAGGAGGAGGGGAGGAGGAGGAGGAGGAGGAGGAGGAGAGGAGTAGGAGGAGCAGGAGGAGGAGCGGGAGAAGCAGGAGGAGGAGGAGCAGCAGGAGGAGCAGCAGAAGGATGGTCAGAAGCTGGAGGAGGAGCAGCACAAGGAGAAGGTAAAGGAGAAGGAGTAGTAGGAGGAGTAGGAGGAGCAGGAGGAGGAGAAGGAGAAGAAGCAGGAGAAGCAGGAGGAGGAGCAGGAGGAGGAGCAGGAGGAGAAGCAGGATGAGTAGTAGAAGGAGCAGGAGGAGCAGGAGAAGGAGCAGAAGGAGCAGGAGGAGGAGCAGGAGGAGCAGGAGGAGAGTAGAAGGAGGAACAGGAGGAGCAGGAGGAGTAGGAGGAGGAGCAGGAGGAGCAGGAGCAGGAGGAGCAGGAGGAGGAGCAGGAGGAGCAGGAGGATGAGCAGGAGGAGCAGGAGCAGGAGGAGCAGGAGGAGGAGCAGGAGGAGCAGGAGGAGGAGTAGGAGGAGAGCAGGAGTAGGAGGAGGAGCAGGAGGAGCAGGAGTAGGAGGAGGAGCAGGAGGAGCAGGAGCAGGAGGAGGAGTAGGAGGAGCAGGAGGAGGAGTAGGAGGAGCAGGAGGAGGAGTAGGAGGAACATGAAGAAGAAACGGAACGGAAGAAGGAAGAAGGACGAGGGGGAGACAAAGGATGCGAAGGAGGAGGAGAGACGGAAGAGGGGAGAGGAAGGGAAGGAAGAAAAGGAAGAGGAGGAGGAGGCGCAAGACAGAGATGACACATATTTAGCATACTAAGAATTACATATTACACATCGTCCCTGAGGGAAGGATCAGGTCCAGGACCACTAACCTTGTACCCTAAGGGAAGGATCAGGTCCAGGACCACTAACCTTGTACCCTAAGGGAAGGATCAGGTCCAGGACCACTAACCTTGTACCCTGAGGGAAGGATCAGGTCCAGGACCACTAACCTTGTACCCTGAGGGAAGGATCAGGTCCAGGACCACTAACCTTGTACCCTGAGGGAAGGATCAGGTCCAGGACCACTAACCTTGTACCCTGAGGGAAGGATCAGGTCCAGGACCACTAACCTTGTACCCTGAGGGAAGGATCACGTCCAGGACAATTAACCTTGTACCCTAAGGGAAGGATCACGTCCAGGGCCACTAACCTTGTACCCTGAGGGAAGGATCAGGTCCAGGACCACTAACCTTGTACCTGAGGGAAGGATCAGGTCCAGGACCACTAACCTTGTACCCTGAGGGAAGGATCAGGTCCAGGACCACTAACCTTGTACCCTGAGGGAAGGATCAGGTCCAGGACCACTAACCTTGTACCCTGAGGGAAGGATCAGGTCCAGGACCACTAACCTTGTACCCTGAGGGAAGGATCAGGTCCAGGACCACTAACCTTGTACCCTGAGGGAAGGATCAGGTCCAGGGCCGCTAACCTTGTACCCTAAGGGAAGGATCACGTCCAGGGCCACTAACCTTGTACCCTGAGGGAAGGATCACGTCCAGGACCACTAACCTTGTACCCTAAGGAAAGGATCACGTCCAGGACCACTAACCTTGTACCCTAAGGGAAGGATCACGTCCAGGGCCGCTAACCTTGTACCCTGAGGGAAGGATCACGTCCAGGACCACTAACCTTGTACCCTGAGGGAAGGATCACGTCCAGGGCCACTAATCTTGTACCCTGAGGGAAGGATCACGTCCAGGAACACTAACCTTGTACCCTGAGGGAAGGATCAGGTCCAGGGCCACTAACCTTGTACCCTGAGGGAAGGATCAGGTCCAGAACCACACTAACCTTGTACCGCGAGGGAAAGATCAGGTCCTGGATCACAGTAACCTTGTACCGTGAACGAAGGATCAGGTCCTGGACCACACTAACCTTGTACCGTGAGGGAAAGATCAGGTCCTGGATCACACTAACCTTGTACCGTGAAAGAAGGATCAGGTCGTGGACCACACTAACCTTGTACCGTGAAGGATGGATCAGGTCCTGGATCACACTAACCTTGTACCATGAAGGAAGGATCAGGTCCTGGATCACAGTTACCTTGTACCGTGAAGGAAGGATCAGATCCTGGACCACACTAACCTTGTACCGTGAAGGATCGATCAGGTCCTGGATCACACTAACCTTGTACTGTGAAGGAAGGATCAGGTCCTGGATCACAGTTACCTTGTACCGTGAAGGAAGGATCAGGTCCTAGACCACACTAACCTTGTACCGTGAAGGAAGGATCAGGTCATGGATCACACTAACCTTGTACCGTGAGGGAAGGATCAGGTCCTGGACCACTAACCTTGGACTGTGAAGGAAGGATCAGGTCCTGGACCACTAACCTTGGACTGTGAAGGAAGGATCAGGTCCTGGACCACTAACCTTGGACCGTGAGGGAAGAATCAGGTCCTGGACCACTAACCTTGGACCGTGAGGGAAGGATCAGGTCCTGGACCACTAACCTTGGACCGTGAGGGAAGAATCAGGTCCTGGACCACTAACCTTGGACTGTGAAGGAAGGATCAGGTCCTGGACCACTAACCTTGGACTGTGAAGGAAGGATCAGGTCCTGGACCACTAACCTTGGACTGTGAAGGAAGGATCAGGTCCTGGACCACTAACCTTGGACCGTGAGGGAAGAATCAGGTCCTGGACCACTAACCTTGGACCGTGAGGGAAGGATCAGGCCCTGGACCACTAACCTTGAACCGTGAGGGAAGAATCAGGTCCTGGACCACTAACCTTGAACCGTGAGGGAAGAATCAGGTCCTGGACCACTAACCTTGGACTGTGAAGGAAGGGATCAGGTCCTGGACCACTAACCTTGGACTGTGAAGGAAGGATCAGGTCCTGGACCACTAACCTTGAACCGTGAGGGAAGAATCAGGTCCTGGACCACTAACCTTGGACTGTGAAGGAAGGATCAGGTCCTGGACCACTAACCTTGGACTGTGAAGGAAGGATCAGGTCCTGGACCACTAACCTTGGACTGTGAAGGAAGGATCAGGTCCTGGACCACTAACCTTGGACCGTGAGGGAAGGATCAGGTCCTGGACCACTAACCTTGAACCGTGAGGGAAGGATCAGGTCCTGGACCACTAACCTTGAACCGTGAGGGTGATCTTCTGAGACCACGAAGGTGAAGCTCTGAAGTGCACAGTGCACATGTAACTATCCTCGTCCCTCCCGCCCACCGCCCGCACCATCAGGTGGGCGGGCGTGGTGCTGGTGTTGAACCACGCCCTCTGTTCCTCTCCCCACGCCTCCTCGTCTCCCCACTGCTGACGGAGGCCTCCCGTCGCTCCTGCCGTCCCCTCTACACCGCGGGAGTCGTAGCTGAGGCAGACGTAACAGAACAAACTGAAACAGTCCTTACAAGAGTTTAATTAAAAGACAGATGTAGCCTATCGTAACTCATACGTCGCCTATCGTAACTCAAATTTTGCTTAACGTAACTCGGATGTCGCCTAACGTAAGTCAAATGTCGCCTGTCGTAACTCAGATGTCGTCTAATGTAACTCAGTTTTTTTTTATTTATTAACACATCGGCCGTTTCCCACCGAGGCAGGGTGGCCCAAAAAAGAAGAAACAATGTCATCATCATTCACTCCATCACTGTCTTGCCAGAGGTGTGCCTACACAACAGTTCGAAAACTGCAACATATCTCCACCCCTAATTCACAGTGCCGGCACTGCACTTCCCACCTCCAAGACTCAGGTCTGGCTAATCGGTTTCCCTGAATCCCTTCATAAATGTTACTTTGCTCACACTCCAACAGCACGTCAAGTCATAAAAAAACATTTGCTTCTGCTCTCTCCTAACATGCTCATGCATGGTTGCTGGAAGTCCTAGCCCCTCACACACAAAACCTTCCCCCCACTGTCCCTCCAATTTTTCCTAGGACGACTCCTACCGTGTCTTCCTTCTATTACAGATTTACATGCTCTCCAAGTCATTCAATTTTGTACCTTCCTCTCTAAATGTCTGAACCACCTCAGCAACCCCTCCTCAGCCCTCTGAATAATACTTTTAGACACCAATACCTTTTAATCTTTAAGCTATCGAGTCTATGCATAATATTCACACCACACATTGCTTTTAGACATGACATCTCCACTGCCTCCAGCCTTCTCCTTGTTGCAACATTCACTACCCATGATCCACACCCATATAAGAGTGTTGGTATAACTATATTCTCATACATTCCCCTCTTTGCTTCCAAGGATAACGTTCTTTGTCTCCACAGACTCCTTAGTGCACCACTCACTTTTTTTCCCCTCACACATGAATATGATTCACCTCGTCTTCCATAGACCTCAAATGTCACCTAACACAACTCAGATGTCATATAATGTAACTTGGACTTCGCTTAACGGAACTTAGACGTTACCTAACGTAACTCAGAAATGTGTCATCTGATAGTACTGACGAAAGTAGCAATCATCTCACGAAATGCAATATGATTATACAGAATAGTAGTTTCCTTACGAAATGTGTTATCACGAGAAGGCAGAAATGATTCGTAATAACTTAATAAAGCTCTACACAGTCATCACTGGATAAAGCTCTACAGAGAGGGGAACGTTGCCCCTGGGAGAAGCTTGTCCAGTCAGCTGTAGCTTCTCTTGGCTGTTGTTTCCAAGACGAAGTTGAGAGTCCCACAGTTAACATTTCACAAGATTACAGTTCATCACTCAGGCCTCCAAGAACCTCAGGAAACCCCTTTCGAGTATATATATATATACATACATAATATATATATATATATATATATATATATATATATATATATATATATATATATATATATATATATATATATATATATATATATAAAAAAGATTCATGAAGAGGCCAAAGACCCACGAGTGTAAAAAAAATTCTTATCTGTTCCAAAACTTCGACCAGACTTAATAGCCACAATTTTGTCACAAAATTTTCTTGGTGGGAGAAAAAATCGTAGGGGCATATTCGTGTTTGATTTGTGTGAGCGAGGGAGGCTGTGAGGTCAGGTTTAATCCAAGAACATGGAAAATGGCCATAAAACTGAGCTTCTACCCTGATTAATATGGAACAATAACATTGACGATGTATCTAGAATATATTTTGTTTATTTGTGTGTGTGTGTGTGTGTGTGTGTGTGTGTGTGTGTGTGTGTGTGTGTGTGTGTGTGTGTGTGTGTGTGTGTGTGTGTGTGTGTGTGTGTGTAAAGTTATCTTGATGTATGAGGAGTCAGGCAGTCAGAACACAGTATATGTGCGTAAAATCAATAGAGGAGTGCAGGGATCAGCATAGAATCATCAGCATATCAGACGTTAGTAACTTCGTAAGCTTTGCCAGGGGAGTGGTTCTGAAGGTCAGGAAGCGTGGAGAGGGAAGACTCATTAAGAGAGCTCACTCTCATGTCCCCCAGAATGTCGAAGAAGCAGAGGAGACACGATCACAGTGTGTATGATACGCGGAAATACACACCTTTCATAGGTATTGTGATGCTTGTTAGTGAACACAGTATGAACCAGAAGAGCACAATATGAGCCAGAGAAATATACTGTGCTACATGGAGGAAAATATTACGGACCACATGAACGTATGAAGGCACTGGGCGAGCCTGAGTGTACCAAGACAGTGTGAAGATGAACTTGGACTCCACACAAAGATCCAGAAGCAGCTATGACGAGGAGGTCCAACCAGAGGCCAGAGTAAGCCTCACTCTTCCCTCCTAGACCTCAAAATCTGTCTCTTAACTACCACAAACACGATTAAGCCACGACACAAACACATTTGCAAGAGACAAACACTCACACACACACTCGTTTTCCCACAAATCCGGCAACATGCCGCACGAAGCACATCACCGCACTCACTCTGTACTGCCAAATATCCCCTGGACATTACCAGAGGTACATCTGAACACATTCAACATTTGCTGCGTCGTCCCCTTCCCCCTGAACGCCAACGTGGGAGCGTGTAGGGTCCTTGGTCTGGGGACATTTGTGTCAACGCAGGTGCGCTTCAGGTGATGTTTGTGGGAGCAGCTGCTTCCTACGGCCCATAAGAACCATTGTTTTTGGCTTCCCACCGAGGGAGACGCTCGGTGTAAACACCGAGGGAGGTCTCACCTTCAGGAGACGCAGGGAGCCAGTCCTCTGAAGGACGGGAAGTCACCGCTGAATAACTTGCTACCATATCTGTGTTTTCTTCTTCCTCTTCCTCCTCTTCTTCTTCTCCTTCTTCCTCTTCCCTCCCTCCCTCTTCACAAGAGCTATATCAAAGAGCTTTAAAACGAAGCGGCTAAACAACCTTTGCAAAATTATGTACAGTGTATTTTTTTAATATAAGATAAGTGTGTTGGCAACATTTATAATAAACCAGGACAAAGATTTTTGGCGAAAATGTTCAAAAAGATTTTTATGTTGAAGAAACATTATGTAAATGAAGCGTAAATCAAGGTATATAATAATAAATAATAATAATAATAATAATAATAATAATAATAATAATAATAATAATAATAATAATAATAATAATAATAATATAATCATAGTTCTGCAAGAAATCAATTTAATAACAGAATTTAATCTTGCGTTGTTGTAGCTAAAATACAAATCATATAACATATATATATATATATATATATATATATATATATATATATATATATATATATATATATATATATATATATATATATATATTTCTATAGCAATATATGAGGAGAGAAAGATAAAAAAATCTCTACAGTTTTAAGGCAAAAGAAATGCATAATATTTTTTTCACGGTGTTATGCATGTAGCAATTAAAATATAGTGTGCGAAGTGCTTCGAATTTTATTAAATAAAAATATAATTTATATTGAGAGGGGAAATGTATGAATATATACATACAAACAAACACTATGTACCCTCTGGAAAAAGGAGGGAGAAATCAGGACCATTGATGTGGGTAACATCCTTTGGAGCTCTGTTGTGGAGGCTGCAGTGAAAATGTTGAGTCGAGAGGCTGCCGCAGTGCTGAACCCAACACTGCTTGGTTTTGGTGTTCAACAAGGCTGTGAAGCAGCTGCCCATGCAGCACGAGTATACATCAGCAACATGTTAGATCAAATAGCCTTGATCAATTTGGACTTTGCTATCGCTTTTAACTTAGTCGGAAGGGCTGCTGCACTCTGCGCAGTTTCCAGACATTTGCCTCCCCTCTATCCTTTCATACAATTGTGTTACAGTGGGACTTCTAAATTACTGTTCAGGGACTATGAAATTGACTCGTGTGACGGTCACAGAAGTCACAGAAACACAACACTGTCCAGCGATCTCAATATCTAGTTCTTGGATGATGGTACCCTAGCTGGCACTCCAGCATCTCTCCTATAGGACATCAGAAAAATAAAAGACATGGGAGAGAGCCTAGGTCTATCTTTAAACCATACCAAATGCTAAATAGTTCTATTAATCCGCAGATTATTGAGGATATTACTACTGTTTTGCGAGAAGCATGAAACCATCGATCCAGCTCCTCTTGGGTCCAATGATATTCATCTGATTCTAGAAAAAAAAAATCTCAGACCTCTGGATGATGGAAGGCAGAATGAAAGACACTGATACACATGATGCCTTCTACCTACTCACCAGGTGCCTGTCCATCCCAAAACTTACCTACTTCTTGAGATGCTCTCCAGCCTTCTACAATTCAAAACTCATGGAATATGACTTCCTCCTAAAGACCATGTTAGAGAGTGTATTGAATCTTTCCCTTGAAGATGGACAGTGGTTGCAGGCCTCACTGCCAGTCAAGCTTGAGGGGGCTGGAATACGAAAATCTTCCCATATTATTCTACCATTTTTTTCATCATTCTTCATAGCATCAGACGAGTTAATAAAACAAATTCTTCCAGACACCCTTAGTGTTTCAGCAGGAGTACAGGATCTTAGCTACAGTCCCATGACAGAATCAGAGACTCTTGCTGCTCAAGCACCAAAACCTAGTGCAACACTGGCGTACAAATAGTTCAGTGAGATGGCCCCATTGCTGAAGAGGTGCATGACAGTTTGCTCAGGGCTGCATCATTCCCCAGGAATACTGCCCATCTCCAACCTGTTAGCTCACCTCACTCTGACGACTTCTTCTAAACAGTTTCCATTTCGGCAATGAGAACACGCCTCGACCTACCGACCCTTGTTACTGCAGTGGCTTTCCGCGGCACTGCTTCACTTCACACTGAATATGCGTGTATTTGCGACGATGCGCGAGCCAACCAATATAGTCTACATGATCTAAATTGCTCCACAACCAAGGACTGGCATGCAAGACACAATGAAGTCAACGACGTCATAAAGAG